AACTTCTGCATTATTTTTTTCCATCAAATGCTATTAACGAATGTCAAACTCTTGATCAAATAATCATTCAGTCTTTCAAAGCGCACTTTTGTCGTGCTCAACTAAAACACGTGATGTTTGAGTATGAACTTATGTCTTAGTATGGACTATGGCAAGCGAATGAACATGCACTTCAATTTTCAATTAAAGATCATACACATCTACTCAATGTGCTTGGTTGGATCAAGTCATCATCAAATGGTATTGAGTAGAATACTATTCAAAGATGTTTTGTGAAATTCAATTATCATACTGTTATATCTAAGATGAATTTTAATCAAGATATTGATAGATTTGTTAACAGTTTAAATCAAGTTATTGATGGTTTAGTGAAAATTCTTTTAAAAATTTATCTAGATGATTTTTTATTATGATATATGGATCTTGATGACGCAAATATTGAAGAATTAGCAAAAATCTAATTGAAATGACTACTCTTGATGTTATTGATGATAATGTTATTGATGATTGATGACACAATAAGATTTTGAAAATTATAAAAAAAATGCTTTACAATAGAACCTCCAATAGCGAATACCCTTGGGATGGTACAACAGGTATTCGGTATCAGAATTTATTATCCAGTAGAGTTAATGTTTTAAGCATACCTAAGCACGTATATACACCCTAAGCTGCATATAACCGATATCGAAACTGAAAGATTTTCATTCGCTACTGGAGTATTCGGTAGCAGAGATTCTACTGTATTAGCAAAAATTATAAGTACATAGATTAGATTGTGATATTAAATCAAATTTTGCAATCATGTATACACATCAAATTTTTGTCTTCATTATGCATTCAAAAATATTTCAATTAATATTTTATTTTTAATATCCAAATTTGCAAGTATGTTAATGGTAGTCTTTGATACTTTTATAATCTTACAAAAATCATGAAGTCATTTAAATTACACCCATAGATGTTAATTTGACTTTCAAACTTTGACATCTCTGAAATGACTACTTTTAGAAAATTTATGATTTTTGAACTAATGTGTAATACATCTTATTGAGTCATCAATATTTTCAATTGTCCAATCCAAATGCACTAAATACGTACTCAAAACTTCAAAAAACATTCAAAAAATTGCTAAAAAAACTTTTATTGATTCAAAAGCCTTCATCAATCAAATAAAAGAATCAATGTTGTTAAAATTCAATGAAATCAAAACAATTTTAATTTGACTACAAATATAATATTTGATTATGACATAGTTTTATTCCCAAAATAGAATTTAGAAATTGTATGTCATAGAGTCTCATAATCATAACTTTGAATTCACAAAAGAAAATTAAATTTTTAAAAAAATTTAAAATTTTGAAAAAAATAATTAACATGAATATATTTTTAAAAGAATACTGTAAAATAGAAAAATCAAATTAAATTCCTACAAAAATGCTTTGATTGAAAAAAAAATCATAAATAATTTTATAAAAAAATTATAAATAATTTCACACTTTGAATAATATTTTGAGCAATTACAAGAAATTAAAACGCTTACAAGGAATTTATTCAAAAATTAAAATTAATACTAAAGTTTTGTGTCAATTTTAATTATGAAATAATTTGAAAAGAATATTTTTGTAATGTAAACTTAACACAAATATCCAGTTTTAATATCCTGGTTGTTAGTCAGTTATACATTGAAATACAAATAATTACGGAATTTTCACAATATGTGCAATTAATCTGTTGTTATTTTGAATAAGATAACAATATGAATTCTGTGCAAGTTAAAAATAAAAATAGAATTGTAAATTTATAATCAAATGAAGATTTTTAATGAAATAACATCTACTTTTGATACAAAATACTATTTTCAAATAAATTTAACCACAAAAAAAAGTTAAGCGCATGTATGTGTAAAGTTAGAAATTTGTTGAAATGACGAAGCAGATTTTGTTTTAGATGTTATACACAATATTTGGATATATCTTATACAATACAAATAATATTTTGGATTGATTAAAGCAACAAGTTGTAATTTTGATTAAATCTTGTAAAATAATTCAGCAAAGTGATTTTTAATATAATTTTTAGAATTAATTTGTGTGTGAAATAATATTAATTAGTCAAACGCAAAGTTGAAATAAATAAATTGAAACAAAACAACTTGCACAAAGATTGTAGAACATTAACTTGCATTCAGACATCTTAGTGATCTTATATCAATCTTATGGACACACAACTAGCTCCAAGATAAAAATCAAGGAAGAATTATTAAAATTTAATTTAAATGTTGATTACTTTCAACTTCAATCAGTTAATCAAGTTAACTTGCTCCTATATAAGAGAGTTGATAATAAATTTCAATGGCACAATAAGGGTTTTTTTCAATAAATGTTTTTTTCTTGGATGTTTTACTAGAGTTGAACCATATACAATTTGTCTTTTGATTCTATTTGTGTTTTGTGTGTAAGTTACGTTAGTTGTACATTTATTTGAGTTTAGATTTTATATAGTTAGTTGAAAAAACATATATCAGAAATCATTATTTTGAAATTACCATTTCAGAAGTAAAATCACAAATTAATCATAAACCCATTTTTTTAACTTAATAAACATACTTATGTTACATTAAATATTGAATAATATTGCAAATCATATCAATTAATTTTGCTTATAATATATGGATGTTTTATGTAATGTTAAATCTTCATTTTTTGTTGTTTTCAATATGTTTTTGCAGTCAAATTCATATTATGATTATAGATGATAAAATTATGGATTCATCATTTTATTCAAAAATCATTGCTTAAACTTGAAGAACCAAATATTCTAATTCATGTAAAATATTACATATTGTACATGGTCAAGATTTATGAGGTTGAGTTTGAAAGTTGATATCTTGTATTTGACACTAAATTTTATATCAATAGGAAATATTTTTTTTCAAATGTGCATGATATAAATTTTTTGTTGATGTTAATATATATTGTTATTTAAAAATATTTTAATAAGAAATGTATGATTTCAATTGAGTTAAGGTTATTTTTCCAACATATTGTTGGAAAATATATTGTATATAATGTGATATGTATTAATTATTGATTCTTGTTATCCCTGTGAACTAATAGACATGTCTAAATCATGTAAAGAATTCTTTGTTACATGGGCGGGAGTTTCGTTGATTGTGGTGGGCTCCTACCGCTGATGAAATTTGATATTGTTCATTGCATCTCTTTATTCATTTCGAATTTTAAACTATATAGAACACATGTGTTGAATGGGTCGCACGATCAGAGTAAAACTTTCAAAACCCAATTCATTATACAACTTTGACCGGAGTGGATATGAACGTTTCTTTCTCATGTTGCATGTCAGGAATCTCGTACAAATTACAATGCATTCAATGGTGACATTGGTATACATCACTCCATTGTCCACATTGTGGAACACGATCTGGATCAGAAGTTTGGACTATTGATATGATTATCACAATCACGAGTTCAAGAGAGTTAGTATGGAATGTTCGTATATCCGAGGGAGAATGTAAGCAAAATCTAAAATGTATACCATATGCATTAGATAAAGCGTACAAAACCTAGTACATAGTGAACAACATTGTTGTGGGATGTACAGTAAGCCTTTACAAGAAATGAATGAAATGACATGACCGTTAATACTTCGACTCAGACCTCGTTAAAGAGTTGTACCTGCTACGGAAGGCCTAATAGTACAGATTCCCTCCGACTATTTATCCACAGTCGAATGATTCCAATCTAGCAGGGTCGAACGCCTCTCCGACCCTTCGTATTTGCTTCACACCATGTCCGTGCAAGAAAAGAGGTCTGGATGGCAATCAGGTTTTTGTTTTTGTTTTTCATTTAGTTAATTACAAGCAGATTTGCACCAGATTATTATTTAATAATATTAAATTTCATCGAACTAAGAATATCATCAAAGTAAACCCTCGTGTCCAAGGTTTCATGATTATGTCGCCAACTTTTAACGAAATTTCCCATTGAATTTGTAATGATTATTTGCATTAGGCTCTATATATTTGTTGGTGGTACTTTAAACTTCCCTTTCGAACATAGTTTTAGGGCCCGGATTTTTTTCAAGAATGGCGGTTTTAAATATGGGGAACAACTGCGAATAAATATATGACCAAGTTGAGCTATGAGAAGATTCGAGAGAAAAGCAGGAACCGTACGAGCTCAAGTACTGCTGTACAAGGCGGAGGCTGTTGGCAAGTCGTGTTACCAGACGGAGAGACAGGTAAGACCAACATTTGGACCGACTGTCGCATCGGATGGGCGCCAGGAGAGTGGGCGCCAGATGAAACAGTCACATGGAGCAGACTGCGCACCAGTTGCATCGATCAGTTACGAGAGACAGAGTCGCTCGCAGAGAGATGGCGATGGGCCAATTGCGCAGCCGAGCTGTTCGTCACGAGAGCGACTCGAATCATGTCTTCCCCTGAAGAAAAAGTGCGCTTCTGGATCCCGCCCTCCAGTTTTCGTCCGTGACGGGTCTCTCTCACTGGGCAGCTCCTAGTCTAACCCAACCCGGGTCAAATTAACTCAACTCGAGTTAAGTAGAATCATGTCTTCCCCTCTGGGCAGCTGCAGCTCCTAATCTAACATGACCGGGGTCACCTTAACTCAACTCGAGTTAATTAGAAGGGCCGACACCGAGATTGTTGGTCCGGTCGGGTTTGCCGCGCATTAATTCGTCGGAAGACGCACCTGGAGCAGAGTACGTGGAGACCGAATGGAGTCCAAGAAGTAAGCTCGAGCAAGAACTCCGCGCCAACGTTCCGCGATCGGGGCAGCGCTTTCGGCTGCCTCCAGGTACCCGGGGCCGAGGGCAGCCCCAGGCAGGGCAGGGCCGGGCAGGGCCGGGCGGGGCGGGGCAGGGCGGGCGGGCGAGGGAACGAGGTACGGGAGGAATCGGAGGCCCTCGTGCTGCGAGGGTTGCGAACAAAGCGTCGCGGGGGCTCGCTCTTTCTTTCGGTGGGGGTGGCATGTGCCGACTGTCGTTGCGTGAGTCCAACAAAGACACGAGAGCAGACGACGGGGAGGAGGGTTAGTTCTCACGCCTGCTGCGGTCGTGCCGAGGAGCGAAGAGAGTCGCGCACATTGAGGGGGGGAGAGGAGTTTCAAGAATCAGGTTTTGGAGCGATTGCCGCAGTCGGGCGTTCGTACATTGTTTGTTTGGGGGTGTGCGAGCGAGAGAGGAGCGAGTCTTGAATTAGCGAGGGCTGGAGGTGAGGGTTATGTCGGGTACTTGACGGAGGAGACAGGGAGTACGAGGAAGAATAATGCCCGCGACGATGGAGGAGTGGCGGTCGACGAGCGCAGGGTCCAAGGATGAGAGCGGGGGCGGGGGTGCGTCAATTGGTGGAGGTGGAGAAGCTGCGGGCGCTGCTGCTGCTGCTGCTGCTGCTGTCGCGGCTGCGGGGGGCGGTGGCGGTGGCGGGAAGACGGGCAGTGCCGCGGAGGTTGCCACACCTCCTCCCGCGACGGTCATCAGCAAGAGGCAGCGTCGTCCTAGTGTGAGGTTGGGGGAAATAGGGGATCAGAAAATTTCTGCCAAGGCCGAGGTGCAGGCGAACGCGAGATGGATGTCGCCGAACTTCGTTCCCCGGAAGAGCAATTCCGCGAACGGGGCCAAATTACCTCGAACTCGTCCTCTGGCGAATGTCACTCGTGGGGAAATTGCGGGGCAGGCCGCCAAGGCTGGAAAGGAGGGATCCGATGAGGGTACAGGTGCTGTTGCAGGTACTCAGACCCCTCCAGTTGTAGAGAACAGCGCTGCGACCGAAGAAGAGGAAGAAGCTGAGGCTCCTGGGGCTCCGAGCTCGACCGGGAGAGGAAATTATGGAGCGACGGGTGCGAATGCTGTCAAGAAGGGAAAGCATGGCAAGCGCAAGCGACCTTCCAGCATCAAGTCCAGCACAATTGCCAAAACTCTCGGTGTTGTCAGTTTGAACCGAAAAGCGAAGGAGCTGCAGAAGGTGCTGGCAGTGCCTGACGTTATTCATCCTGGGGCCGCAGATAATGCCGACACTGATATGGAAACTCCCCCGGTTGAGATGGAGGAAGAGAGTGGCGCTGCGAGGGCACCGGAGAATTTTGAGGATGAGGGTGGGGATCACGCACAGAATGGAGATACCGAGGTTCTGGAGGATGATGGAAATGGTGAGGATTCTTCCGGACGTCAGGAGGGTGACGAGCCTGAGAGTCCAGGTGTTCGTGACAACCAACTGGCAAGCATGAACGGAGCAGCTGGGCCTGTGCAGGAATTTGTACCTGCGAAGGATGATAGGGAGCAGTGCACCAGTCGGCTCACTGATGGCGACAAGGAACGTAAGAATGTGTTCATGATCCGAGAGGCTTCCATGAACGGTCGACGAGGAGGCGTCCGAGGATGGCTGGGGTCGCTTGGTCTTGACAAGTACGCAGATCTCTTCGAGGAGAACGAAGTGGACAATGACGTCTTGCCCCTTTTGACCTTCGAAGACCTGAAAGAGATGGGAATTGTAGCTGTCGGTGCCCGTCGGAAGATGTTCGCAGGAATTCAGGAGCTGGGGCGCCTTTGTTAAGACGCCTTTCTTACTTGCTTAGGCCTAGTCCAGAAGTCATGTCTGGCTCCATCTAAGCAGCAGTCTTTGAGGCAGCAGCTCGAGCAACAATTCAAGAAACGACAGCAATTCATGAGACGACAGTAGCCTACGTGTATCAGTGAACCCCAGCTCAGATCCGGGGAAGGAAAGTGTATAGAGGAAAGGTAAGCAACAATGTCTTGGACGCTTCAGCTCAAATCTTCTATCCTTCTTAAGGTGTTTGTGTTGCAAGCCCACTAAGGCTTTGTAGTGTACCCTTCAAGAGATGGCTGAGTAGATGGTGGCCAGACGATACCAGGGTGTCCTGTTCTGCGGTATCTGGAGCAATTTTGTAACACGTCTACAGATACAAATGTATTATAGTCAGTGGAATGCATTTCAGTGAAAGAGTAGCGATGAACCAGGTTATCAGCGCAGGTCTGAAGCTCTAGCCTGCTTTTAAGACGGGTCAGAGACTCATCGAAGATTGTAGCTTAATTAGAAACTTGTTTACCATCTTCTATGGCCTGAAGTTCAAAGGCAGGTGTAAACTTTGTATAGCTGCTTTCTACAGTTTTTCTTTTTTAATTGTAGCTAAGTCACGAGACAGATATGAATGTTGTAAGCCCGTGTTTTTGTCAGATCCTTAGTATTCACTTCATCGATAATAACTCGTGTTCTGAATTTGAGCAAGCTTCCTATCGAAAGACAAGCAACATTTCACGAAATATTATAGGAATATAAGATATTAGACGCTGCTATACCTCGACTAACTTAGTAACTCGCTTTGGCACCATTGAAATCAAAAGGCATGCCAAAATCGTCCGCGGGCACTGTCTCAGAGTTCAGCTGTACGGCCGTGTGGAACTGGCAGTCGTCCTGAATGCCGAGCACACTTTATGATCGATCGGAGCGAGGTATAAAGATAGATGGAAATTCCACCTTGTCAAAGTTAATATTGATACCCGATCGACCTGGGAATTCTGAAGTACGGTCAACTGGAAAGAATTTCAAGTCCAGCAAAGAATATCACGATCGTCGTCCGAACAAATCCCGATTCCCCTTGTCCCGAGGAACCGCTCCGAGCTCATCGTAGGAAAGGGTCACGGTCGACCAGCGAGACCAGGCAATGGTGACTGCCACGAAATCAGGTGCTCACCTTCGATTACTGTGAAACTTGACTCGCCATCGGGGTATAGATAAAGGAGCAAATTTCCACCACCAGCGGAAGGAACCAAATCATAATTCGAAAGTCGCTGGTGAAAGAGACGTGACAGCGACGATTCCCCCGGAGAGCAGAGCTTAGTGTACTACCGCTCGGAAGTACTCAAGGCAAGTAATGCGTGCCTAATACAGCAAGTCGCGAGGGAGGTTTGCCGCGGCAAGTGCTCTCGCTTCCTTATCTCTACGTGTTCGATGCTCAAGTGATCGGAAGGTGTTTGGACACTTTGACGTTTTTGGACTCATGCTCCATAGCCGGAGCATGAGCAGGCCAACTCCAAGTAGATTCGGCGGGTGGGCGCAGGGACGATGAAAATGGCTTCGCGCGAGCTGTTGGCGTCGACTTGTAGACACCCGGCGCCATTCTCGACATCTCTCGTGGCCCCGAAATCCGTCCCCTCCGTCTCGTCGTCGAGAATCTCCGCAGCGCTTCCTTTACTGCGCTCATCCTCGTGCTCCCAACTCTACACCGCCCTTCGCACTCGACGAAATGTCGACCGGAGTCCAGCGTCCCAGACCGCCATCGGCCGAAGCAGGCGGCACATCGGAGTCGTCCCTCGGGCGAAGAAGGACGAGGAGAATGCGACGGACGGAATCGTGCTGACCACAGAGCGCGACGATGAGGATTTCAGCGCGGCCGCAATTGAGCCGGGATGGGGTTGGAACAAGACCACGAAGGAGCTCGTCGCTTACGGACTGCTCGTGGCAGCCGTGCCAATCGTGCCGCTGCTGCCTCGCTTCGAATGGTCGGGGGCCTTCTACTTCCTCTTCCTGGCAGTGTGGTCGGTCTACGTCGGCAGCCATCGCAGCCTCATGAAGAAACCACCGCAGAAAATGTCGCTGAATCAAGGCCTCGCGGTGCCGCTCTTCTGCTCGGCCTCGCTCTTCGGATTCTACTGCCTGCTGCGCTTCTTCCCGGACCTCGACCTGCGCACCTTCATCTCGGCGTATTTGGGCGTGGCGGGGGCCGTGGCCGTGGGCAGCAACATCGTCGAGCCCTTCCGGCTCCTGCTGCCGGATTCAACCTCGTGGCGGGTGGATTTGCCGAAATGGCTCGTGCAGGACGATGGCAGCCCGGTGCACCTGACAATCACGCCGGCGGACATAGCCGCGGGCGCTGTGGGAGTGCTGGCCACCATCGCCAGCAAGCAGGCCGGGGCGCCCTTCACGCTGAAGAATTTCATCGCCGTGTGCATCGTGACGGAGCTGCTGCAGCTGCTGTCGCTCGGGACCTTCACCACGGCCGCGGCCATGCTCAGCGGGCTGCTGCTGTACGACGTGTTCTGGGTGTTCGGGTCGTCGCATGTGTTCGGGGACAATGTCATGGTCACGGTGGCCACCTCCTCGGCCTTCGACGGGCCGATGAAGCTCATCTTCCCGCGCTTCGGCGAGGGCGCCATGAACCCGTACTCGATTCTGGGCCTGGGCGACATCGCTGCCCCCGGGCTTCTCATCGCCATGATGCTCCGATTCGACCGCTCCCGCGCCCGGCTCTCGTCGTCGGCCGATGAATCCTCGTCGCCCGACAAAACTTACTTCGTCACCTGCCTCGCGTCTTACATCTTCGGGCTCACCGTGACGGTCGTCGCCAATACTGTCTCGGGTGCTGCGCAGCCGGCGCTCCTGTATCTCGTGCCCAGTCTTCTTCTGGGCGTGTTCGCCGTGGCAGCTTTCAGGTCCGAGGCGTCGCTGCTGCTCGATTACAAGGACGAAACTCTGATGAGTGCGATTCCTGTCAAGAGTGAGGACGAGACGAAGTAGTCGGGTCGGAATAGCACGCAATGGATTGCAGGGGAGAGGAGTGGAGGGGAGTGGAGTGATTGGGACGTACTCACCAGAATCTTTCGATCTTTCGGAAGGTGCTCTCGATCAGGGTTCTGTCTAGTACAGAGGACGTCCTTCTTTTCGAGGAGGAGGAAGGGCATTCAGCTCCACAGTAGTCCCGTCTTTCTTTGAATTTGGTCGGTTGGTTGCCCAAGGCAGCATCTCACATGTACAATTCTGTCCATATTAGCTTCAGCATTCTTCTGGAATTGTCGATCGTGCAAGGAATGGAATGGACCTGCATGCATCCCTCTCTTGGATTCCAGTTACGCTCTAATCCGATTTCACATGGACATCAAGCGCTGATATAATAATACTTCCAGCACATCTGCCACTCACTTGAGAGACTACCTTAAGTTTGATTGATTCCTTCATGATGCAAATGAATGAAACTGTACGAGACCAGATCTTATGTGCGTTATGTTCCAGTAACCCCAACAGCCCAGGCGTCGCAGGAGTTACAATATCTTGCTGATTGTAGTCATTTCCGATCATCGGCTGTACATTTTGTACAGTGGGTCAATGATGGTTCTGTATCATGCGAGCTCACTCAAGACTTGTATAAATCAGCAACTCTTATCTCTCTTCTTTGGAGTGGTGTTCTCTTCAGTTTCTTCAGCTCTTGAACATTTCGCTGCTGCTCTGGTGGTAGTCACAATCTCCCTGCGTGCGTCATATAGCCAAATGTCTCGTTACGCAGCAGCCACCACTCTACGGGAGAGGTGGTATGCGTCAAAGCCTGCAGCAAATCCTTTCGCTTACAGTTGACGACGTGTTATGTATCCAGGTTTCAAATCTGCTGACTGTCAGAGCGATGGCAAGTTAATATCGTCTGAACATTCCAGGGTTGAAAAGTGTGAGGTCCGGTGATTTTTTTTATCATTCTTCAAACGTCAGGAAATATCTGAACATTGAACCTGCCATTTACTTATCTTTGATGGACAAGGCACAGACGGCTGCAGAGTGCCGTTGTCCAACGATCATCACCAGAGTCCAAGCCCCGACTGCAGACGGTAAGATGCTTCTCATCTCAGTGCTACGGCGAGCAGAGCTGGAAAGGTTGACATTAAGATACATGAGAGCGCCCAGGATATGGAAACTTCACAGTTCTGAGTTAAGTACGCAACCTTCCCTTCCTTCAGTCCCCCCTTACAGACATTTGGACACCATTCTCTTAAGGAGGTCGGATAACTCGGAACTAGGGTGCTATATCCTTGGACGCTTTAGATTCCAACACCTTTGCAGGTCGTGGAGGGATCCATAAATGCAAAAACCTTGCCTCGTAGACACCAAACTGAGGGCCAACTTCTCGTACGAGTCCGTGTGGGTTTGTGCAACCTCGAGTTTGTCTCCCTACTTTTCAGAGACATTTTTCGAAGATCTGGACAAATATTCAAATTCCTGTCACCCAAGACAATCGTTACTCGAATCAACGTACAGTTCGTACAGATTGCAGCCTGTGTCTATACCGAGTGTATCAATCTGTGTAGGCGGCGGAAGGCATTTCCTGACGTCGTTTCCCCTTCCTCGCAAGAGGTCTGCCTGCCTTTCCCATCTACGGCATAATAGTAAAGTGGGTGAGGAACTTTTACCGTTGATTAAATGCTGGACGCCCGTGGATACTTCTCCATGGAGAAACAAAGAAAGTTGCAATTCACTGTACCTGAGTTTGAGGTTGATTGTTCGTTAAGGGATGCTGAAAGTTTGTCCAGATTGAGAACTTTCTCACCTTCACTGTACCAGTATGCCGACGGAAAGTTGCAGCTTGAGTGTCTGATGAAGTCCTTCCCGAGACCTGCTCCAAATAAGTTCGATGTAACACAGAAAGTAGTGTCGAGGAGGCACGAAGGAAATGCAAACTCGTTCAGTCGGTTGCAGAAGGCAGAATGTGTCAGAACAAATAAGTTAACCAAGCGAGAGTCTGGCACCGAAGAGAGCTGCTGTAGACTGCCAGACACAGTGCTTCAACAGTGACATGCATGAGAGATGAACTGGTACAACCTCTCAGCAAAGCAGAAACGACAGGACGAGTTCGCAACGAGTGCGAGCGCAAGACAAGTTTGCAAAGCGAGAGTTGTGAAAGAATGTCCTCCGACGAGGATTAATTGAAGTCAATGAATGATTGGCAGATCCAAGCCGACCCCAGGTCCTTGCGAAGAAACTCGGGGCCAATTTGGCTGAAGGTGAAACCTAGTCTAGAATGCCAAATGACAGCAATGCTCGACACATCACTTACATGTGTGATTCTGTCTAATTCAACGGCAAACAGATCCTACTGGGGCCGCTAACAAAACAGCCCTCGCAGACTCATGTGCATGGAGCCGGGATCTGTCAGGGGGTTAACAGAGATGTGAGCAACGAGCTAGATATATCCCAACTATTGTCAATCGCCGCCTCCCAGGAAATATTTGACCCATTAGTCAGTGATCCCTAAGAAAAATCCTTCATCCATCCCGGACCACAACTAATGTGAAGATGCCCAGCTTACAGCTAGTCTACTCCGTGAAGACTACTCATCAAACACCCACATTCTTCCTGCAAACGCTCCAAAATCGCTCACAGGAGCCGACAATGGGGCAACTAACTCCGTAGTTCGACCGTTGAATCTTATGGTGAAAAGAATAATGTCGTCCGTCCTCTGATCGCGTCTAAATCTATACAAAACACTCGTCGTGGTGCTTGTTCGGCACTAGATTCGCCCCGCCATCTCTAGTTGGCAGCTGCAGGCAAATCCTTGACCCACGGGTCCAAAGGCTTGCCGATCGAGTAGGTGATAAACCCAATCTTGCGGAGCTCCTCCATGTTCAACACATTGCGACCGTCGAAGATGAAGGCGGGCTTCACCATGTTGTCGTAGATCTTTTGGTAGTCCAGATTCTTGAACTCGTCCCACTCCGTGATAACACAAATACCGTGGGCTCCCTTGGTGGCTTCGTACGCGTCCACCACGACGCTCACTTGCTGGGTCAGGGACGTAGGGTTCTGGAGCTGCAGGTGCTGGGGATGGTCCCAGTCGAACTTGTTCATGGACAGATCTCGCTTGATCTGGTCCTCTGTCACCTGCGGGTCGTAGATGCTAAGAAGGGCCTTGTCTCCAAGAAGGCCGTGGCACACATCGATGGCGGGGGTTTCTCTGGTGTCGCCCGTGTCTTTCTTGAATGCGAATCCGAGGATGGCCACCTTCTTTCCGGACACGGTGTTGAACATGGACGACACGACGCGCCTGACGAAGCGAGTCTTCTGGTAGTCGTTGATCTGCACCACCTGCTTCCAGTAATTGGCCACCTCCATGAGCCCGTTGCACTCGCAGATGTACACCAGGTTCAGAATGTCCTTCTGGAAGCAAGATCCTCCGAATCCGACACTGGCGTTCAGAAACTTGGGCCCAATTCTCGAGTCCTTGCCCACGGCGTAAGCCACCTCCGACACATCGGCCCCGGTGGCCTCGCACAGGGCGGACATGGCATTGATGGACGAGATCCTCTGCGCCAAGAAGGCGTTGGCGGCCAGCTTCGACAGCTCGGCCGACCACAGGTTCGTGGTCAGGATGTTCTCCTCCGGCACCCAGTGCGCGTACACGGCCTTGAGGGCGGCCACGGCCTTCTGGCCCTCGGGGGTCTCGCGGCCTCCGATCAAGACGCGGTCGGGCTTCTGCAGATCCTCGATGGCGGTTCCCTCGGCCAGAAACTCCGGGTTCGACAGGATCTGGAAGTTGATCCCCTTGTTGTTGTGCGTCAGAATCTTCTCAATTGCCTCCGCGGTCTTCACCGGCACGGTGGATTTCTCGACCACGATCTTGTCGGACTTGGAGACGTCGGCGATCATACGCGCTGCGCTCTCCCAGTAGGTCAGATCTGCGGCCTTGCCAGCTCCGAGCCCGCTGGTCTTAGTGGGCGTGTTGACGGACACGAAAACAATGTCAGCCTCAGCCACCAATCTCTCCACCTCGGTGCTGAAAAACAAATTCTTCCCCCTGCACTGCTTGACGACCTCATCCAAACCGGGCTCGTAGATGGGGAGCTCATCGCTGTTCCACGCCGCAATCCTGGGCTTGGAAATGTCCACCACATTGACCTCAATGTCGGGACACTTGAGCGCGATCATGGCCATAGTCGGCCCGCCGACGTATCCCGCACCAATGCAACATATCTTGACACCCATGTTGGCAAATTCCTGCCCTGCTCGAGCACTCACCGACTCAGCCGATCTTCCCTCGATGCTCAGCAACCCTACGACGATCTCTCTCCTCTGCTCTCGCAATTGCCCTCTCTGTGTCCGTGGGGAACGAGGAAGCTGAGAGAGACGCGTCTGCCTGCCTGCCTGCCTTGCGTCACTGACTTCGGACTTCAACAACTACTGCAAATAATCCCCGAGTCGAGGACATATACTCCGACAGAGAAGCTCTCGCTCGCTCGTTCGTGAGATCGAGTGAGAGAGAGAGCGAGCGAGCTGCTGCAGCTGCAGCACACTGTTGGCTGTCGGTCACGCACACACGGACGACGAAGACGCTGCTGCTGCTCTGGCACCTTTCCTGCTGCCAATCATGCCAACCGAGCGTCGCGTGCGACGCACGAACATCGTGACCGCCGCGGTCGCGTAGGCCAGGTCGTGGGCGGATCCCCGTCACGCTTTGCGTGCATCGTTGGAGACCCCACGATCGTTTCTTTCGCCCTCCCCTCCCCTCGGTACAAGAACGCCGGGCCGGAGGCCTACGTCGTCGTTCCGCGGTCTAGGCTAGGCTAGGCTATAAGCTATAAGCTATAGGCAGCAGCCCGGTTTCGCTTTTCTGTCCTTCTAGTTTTCCGTTCACGTACCTTCTTTTAATGGCGTACAATAATTTCTCTCGGCGAGCCTGGGTCCAATGATTTGCGGCTGGTGAACTCTTGTCGCGCATTTGTGCCACTTCTGGAGGGTGAATTCCATGACTTTCCGTTTGATCTTGATTCTTGAAACTGTCTTTCGGATTCGATGACTTAGAAAGAAAGGACTGCTGCTGTTATGACACTGTCATGCACAATGAGTCCTCGTGAATCTAGGAATACAAAATATCACCATGATATTTTATAGAAAAAAAGAAGGAAAAAAAAAGTAAAATGGTATATTTTCTAGACGAGATCTAATTCTATCTTTTCTGGGGACATGAAGAATTATGTTTGAGAATGCATCGTTTGCAGCTGAGCGAAATCAAACATGATCGTTTGGTTGTTTTCAAGTGCAGGGGCCAAAAGTAGAGCTCAGTGGATGCTCTTGCTCCCAAAAAGGGAAGAATTATCGCCCTCCCTCCCTCCCTCCCTTTGTAGGAATAGAATCTTCGTTGTTGGAAAGTGGAGCCCGTGGCCAAAAGAATGAAGTGAAAAGGAAAGAAAGCACGACGTGTCCTAGAGGTCTAAATTCGCTCTTGGCTTGTCTTCGCTGGTGGCTGCAGTTTCAACTTGACATAATGCGATCCACAAGGGACTCCGAATTCCAAGACTATGGAACAAAGATTGCGATCTCCAGGAAGGATGGAATAGAGTAATTTATAATGGGCATTGTACTTCTGACCCATAGCCGACAATACCATATTCTTTCCAAGATGAATACGAATGACAGTTTCTTTCTTCTAATCCCATTTTTTATTTTTATTTTAGTTCTAAGTTATATATTCCATTTAGCCTTCTGTATAAGGGGTTTTGATAATGTGTATACTGCAAGTGACTTCGTTCGAGTACTTGAATATACTAATGATAAATTCATATGTCAAATCATACGAAATTAACACAGATCTATTTCTGTTGAAAAATTTCTTATTTCATGTTTTTTTGTTTTTGTTTTTTTTTTAGAGTTGTATGGATGAGTGTTTATAACCTGTTATCCAATACGTTTATCTTGCAAATGCTGATATATATGTTCTATACCCAGAATGAAGGTTGATTTGAGTTTAGATACTACGCATTTGAAAATTTAATGTGATGATTATAAATATAATCCACACCAGGAATGTTGTTTGAATTTTATCTTGCATGAAAATTCCATGTACTGATTGTCTTTCTTTGGTTGTTTCTTGTTTGAAACATGAATGTAAGTTTCTGCAAGATATGGGCGTTCCTTTGCTAAGAAGAGGCTACATAATTGGTAATGGAAGGAATCAAACTCTAAATTTCAATTAATATTTTTTTAATTTCATGATTGAACTCATCTAGTCTCTCGGACATGGTTCTGGAATCAACCACATACGAGTGAGGTCAAGTGTTAATCATAACTTCAATCCGACCAGTTCAGGTATGATGCTACGCTTTTGTTGGGTTTGGACCGGCCTATGAAGTTCAAGGACAAACAAGTTTCTCATATTATGCAATGCAGAAGAGATAAACAGAGGTAATCAGAAAATGTCATGTCATGAGACTTCATTTTCTCTCTGTCCTCACAGGATTCAAGATAGAGTGTTCGTTAGACTAGAGGTAAACTAGTACTTATGTCATCTTCCAGCTTTCTGATACTCTAACCTTTGAAACATCTTTGCTCTTCTCACTCAAGCATGAGATTTACATCAGTACACATCATAAAACTCTCGGAACCAAAAACTTAACAGCAAATGAGGGAACCAACTGCCGGCCTAATAATTGCAGTTTGTCAACGCAAAGATGCTAGTAAATTCTGAATATTGTGAAAAGAACGCACATGGGATTATAACACGACAAGATCACAGAATATTATAGAAGTGGAACAACGGTCTTTTTGTCTTTCCTTGTTGCAGCAGAAATATGACCAAATAGGTCCGCAGTTGTGACAGAGCATACATAATCAAAGTTCTGTTCTGCTTGTTCTCTGCACTAGAACAAGCCAATACGGGCTGCTCGGCACGCAATTTCAGTGTGAAGTTAGGCTGTGATAAATTAGATTTGTTTTATGGTTTTGGTGGCTCAAAGTAGATGACATGATGTTGTTTATAACATCAAGAAGAAACGTGAGACGCATGGGTAGAAATTATTATTCGATTGAAGACAGTGCATTCTCACCTTGTCTCTTGCACAATTCTTTGACCTCCGGTTTTCTACGCAAATGACGAGATGGGAACACGAGGAAGCAATGAATAATTTTATGGGAAGTCGGGATATGAGATATTGATATTATCGTGAGTGACTTCATACACATTCCCTGTTGGTCCGATTAGTTCTTCGCCCATCTAAACTGTTTTGGTGTGATTTGAAATGATTAGGAAGTCAGTCATGACGGACGAGTTTTGCAGTTCATGCATGAAAGGATCATGAAGCACACAAGACAAGGGGACGGAAAGCAAAAGGGGGCACTGTAGCAAAGGGGAAAGACTCTGCTGCAGATTACTGCAGATTATAAGCAGGTTCAAGAGAGCAAAAGGAAGTAGTACAGTACAGAGTGCCGTGGTTGCGGTAGAAGAGAAAACCATATATCCCAAGATCATTCAAAATTGATTTGTTTCACTAGTAGTGGATGCAGAAAAGTGAGCAAAGGTGTTGCATGCCAAAACCGAAGTAGAAAGTAACACCCGTACATTGTCTTTATATTATTATTTATATCATTTATTATTTTTCGTCGAATATCCAAGGGGTGTATTACAAAACAATATTATATGTATTATTTATACTTATTATATATTTTCAATCTTATTACAATTATACATTCTACAATGATTTGAATGAATTCCACATTACATACCTTCTTCCCTAATCCCGTCATGGTCCCTCTTGCTTCGTCCTGGACTAATTTTTTAATTCTCTATTATGGTCATTATATGTTTGCAGCACTCTACCTCTGCTCTCCCAGTCCAGAATTATGGAATTTTTTTGTTGCAATAACAGGATTATGCAAACCAGGTGGATACAATAATGTGAATTAGCAGTATGAGACGATATCGAAGTGCAGGACGACAAAGTTGGGAAAGAGGGCTAGGGGAATTTTCGGTTCAGGAGGTCAGTAAGAGTGACAGGGCAAAAGGCGAGGAACTGGTTAGCCATCGTCCTCATCAACGATTCCTCATGCCTTCATTATTTCATGCCGAGCGAGAGCAGAATCGGAAACGAAAGAGATGCCATGCGCATGTCTGATATGCAAGAACGTGCCACAAGTGCAGCCGACGTGGGGAGGAGCCCACGCTCGACGGACGTGAGTGATCGACGAGCCGGACCTTGCCCAGGTCACGAGCATGCCCTCGATTATTGGAGTCCGCCCTTTCTACGCCATCGGTCCAAAGTTCTCGCGACGTATCTCAGAATCGCCGGGACGCCGACTACGATGGACCTCGCGACGGACTCAGTCCACGTCTCAGAGACCGCAAGGGCCCGCCCGACAACCTAGAATACCATTTCCGGCGCCGTGTCTTGGGATTCGCCAACATCTTCCTTCTGTGTCGACGACACATTTTTCGTGAAGACTTCAATTTTTTTAGGGCCATATGAAATCAACGATTGCAGCATTTGCAGTCTTGAAGCAAGCAGGAGAAGCTTACTATTTTTTTAAGATTTGCGTGGGACCTTTTTTCCGTGCATTCACGTTCTAGTTTATCATTTTCGAACCCTAAACCTATTACAGTATCTGGAGTTTCAAAATTGCCTTAAGCTCTAGGTTACTCCTATTTCATGGATCCAATTAGAATACGTAAATTTCAGCTTAGCCTACACTTTTAGATCTTTGCTTCTGTACATAGACATGCAGCATGTTGATACCGATTGTGTTTCATTCGTAACTTATTTACCAACCTGCGCGCCATGATGAGGTTTTTGTGCATGACGCTTTTGTGCACGATGATGATGTTGAACTGGAGGATATTATTCGGCCGGGGAAGGATGCGAGGAAATAAGTCGACGGGGCAAGATGTGACCGTGGTCCGGGTCTCCAGACCTTCTCCTGACCAGCAGCAGGTTCACGGCAGCACCCGCAGCTCTGAAGAGGCCCGGAGGCCTGGAATTCACGACGCATCCGAAGACGCGTCACGCGTGACGCCTCTTATGTTGCATATCGAGTGGTGAGGGGTACTCCAGTTTCTGGTCAGCTCAGCAGCTCATGAAGGACAGAATGGAGCCAGCTGCGATTACTGTACAGTAAGTCAGCTTCCCAGCGCGTCCGTTAGATGACTCCGCCTTATAACGGAAGTTCTGGTATGAGCGCAAAAATTATTCGGCTCAGATTGTGCGGCATCGTTCATCCCACGTGCAGTTGATGTAGCCCGCAAAGTCAAGCGACCAAGTGAGCAAGAGAACAAACCTCGTGCATGAGAGCGAACAGCATTACAGTGGTTTTCCCTTCCCTTGCTGGTCTGTCGGTAACTTTCACCTGGAAAGCAAATTTGATTTGTATATATGTATTTTAAGTAATCTTCGAAATTATTTTGATGATTTTCTTATAGCTTCATTTCTTTTAATTAATCAGTAGACATGATACTGTCATCATGCTGTGATATTTAATCTTAGATAAATCAACTTACATATGTTTTACTCAATTTTCTCTTGAAAATGATAACAATCGGCATCTCACAAAGTAACTCATCTTCGGTTGAATTGCAGTCCCTTCCTCTTTCGAAGCCTATGATTCTTATGGTCGCAGTCATACTTCAAGTGGTCAGCTCGTTGTACCGGCAGATTCCAGGATTGCAACAAAAATTGAATTGTGGACAATGTAGAGCTCATACGAACAAGGAGATGCTGAATATTGCTGGGTATAAAAAATTGGAGATCGGCACTGAGATAATCAATGCTCGCATCATATGCTCTTACTCTGTTCTTCTATCATGAGTTCTCCCGCGGACGATTCGCGCGAAAGCCGCAGAAATTATTGCTGACAGTCCACAGACAGAAGTGCCGCATCATCAATTTCTTTGCGAAAAAACTGACATAACATTCATAGCTGATTAGGTGATCAGGAAGGTGGTAAATTCAAGTATTCTTCATAAGATTGAATATGACACCGAATTATTTAGGAAGTTATACATAGACGAGCATCCGACCTTTTTTCACATCTACACAATAGCGATACTTCTAATCAAAAAGTACCAAAAAAGATGTTGTCGAAGAACATCTCCAAAATGAATACAAACTCTCTGGAGATTATAAGCTCGATGTCAAACGGGCTGCTTCAGTTTCTTGAAACATGTTTTAATTGGTTCAAATGGTTGGTCCGTGCAAAGAATACTGAGACAAAGACGATGAATACTGTACGGAAAAGAGGTCTGGAGTGACATGAGCCAGTTGGGAACAGACGAAGTCCTTCAAGGGTACTGCGTCCCATGAACCTTTAGACTTCAGTCAACTTATCAGCTGACATTTCACGTAGACTCCACCACGGAAGCACACAAGAAACTACTCCGGAGGAATAACCCTCCGCCGTCCAATCACAAATTGTGCCCTTTTCCCAGAAAAAAGGTCAAATCGACGAGGAGCTCATAATTGCCGAAGAGAGGAGCCTTCGAATGAGGAAATCGAGCGTTCGAATGGGGAATGATGCACGCCTAATGTCTAGCCCTAATGGCACAAGGGACGCCGGGGGAACGTTTTCATGTTACAGTTGATCACCCTACTGGGTGGGGGACGAGGGGGGAAGATGAGCAGGTGCGTGCGTCCCTTGGCTTGGGCTTTGGCTCAGGCTAAGGCGGGCCAAGTACTTGATCTCGACGGCCTTCCAAGTAAGCAAAGTGGACGGATTGTTACCCCCGGGACCACAGCACGGACCAAGACTTGTACAACACGTACAGCGGAGGCTGCGGCGTCGCGCTGCAAGATTCGCGACTGGCAGGTTTTGGCGACGTTCGACAGCGAGCTAGTGAGAGTGTCGGGTGCTCCGATTCTGCTGCAGCTCGGGGGGTGCGGGAGCGGGCGAGCGAGCTCGGTGGGGAGAGGGAGAGGGAGAGGGGAATGTGCTTTGGAGGAGTATGATTGAGAGGTATATCAGCGGCGAAGCTCCGCTGTCTTTGCAGAGCGCAGTGATCTGAGGCCGCAGTACTTGTCGGGCGTCGAATTACGAGACTTCTTCTCTCCCCTTCTCTTCTCATTCTGTGCTCGCGCAGGGAGGAGATCTCGGAGGAGTGAGAGAGAAAGGGATTTTCGAGCGGAAGAGAGGAAGATCTTAGTCGTTCGGTGCGAGGAACCATGGGTGTCAAGATATGTTGCATCGGTGCGGGATACGTCGGCGGGCCGACTATGGCCATGATCGCTCTCAAGTGTCCCGACATTGAGGTCAATGTGGTGGACATTTCCAAGCCCAGGATTGCGGCGTGGAACAGCGATGAGCTCCCCATCTACGAGCCAGGTCTAGATGAGGTCGTCAAGGCGTGCAGAGGCAAGAATTTGTTCTTCAGCACCGAGGTTGAGAGATTGGTGGCCGAGGCCGACATTGTTTTCGTGTCCGTCAACACGCCCACTAAGACCAGCGGGCTCGGAGCTGGCAAGGCCGCAGATCTGACCTATTGGGAGAGCGCAGCGCGTATGATCGCCGACGTCTCCAAGTCCGACAAGATCGTGGTCGAGAAATCCACCGTGCCGGTGAAGACCGCGGAGGCAATTGAGAAGATTCTGACGCACAACAACAAGGGGATCAACTTCCAGATCCTGTCGAACCCGGAGTTTCTGGCCGAGGGAACCGCCATCGAGGATCTGCAGAAGCCCGACCGCGTCTTGATCGGAGGCCGCGAGACCCCCGAGGGCCAGAAGGCCGTGGCCGCCCTCAAGGCCGTGTACGCGCACTGGGTGCCGGAGGAGAACATCCTGACCACGAACCTGTGGTCGGCCGAGCTGTCGAAGCTCGCCGCCAACGCCTTCTTGGCGCAGAGGATCTCGTCCATCAATGCCATGTCCGCCCTGTGCGAGGCCACCGGGGCCGATGTGTCGGAGGTGGCTTACGCCGTGGGCAAGGACTCGAGAATTGGGCCCAAGTTTCTGAACGCCAGTGTCGGATTCGGAGGATCTTGCTTCCAGAAGGACATTCTGAACCTGGTGTACATCTGCGAGTGCAACGGGCTCATGGAGGTGGCCAATTACTGGAAGCAGGTGGTGCAGATCAACGACTACCAGAAGACTCGCTTCGTCAGGCGCGTCGTGTCGTCCATGTTCAACACCGTGTCCGGAAAGAAGGTGGCCATCCTCGGATTCGCATTCAAGAAAGACACGGGCGACACCAGAGAAACCCCCGCCATCGATGTGTGCCACGGCCTTCTTGTAGACAAGGCCCTTCTGAGCATCTACGACCCGCAGGTGACAGAGGACCAGATCAGGCGAGATCTGTCCATGAACAAGTTCGAGTGGGATCACCCCCAGCACCTGCAGCCCCAGAGCCCTACCACTCTGACCAAGCAAGTGAGCGTTGTGTGGGATGCGTACGAAGCCACCAAGGGAGCCCACGGTATCTGTGTGATCACGGAGTGGGACGAGTTCAAGAATCTGGACTACCAAAAGATCTACGACAACATGGTGAAGCCCGCCTTCATCTTCGACGGGCGCAATGTGTTGAACATGGAGGAGCTCCGCAAGATTGGGTTCATCACCTACTCGATCGGCAAGCCTTTGGACCCGTGGGTCAAGGATTTGCCAGCAGCTGCCAATTAAGATCCTTTTGTTTCGCAGAAACCAACGGATCAGTCTTGCATTGTCAGTTGTGATTCAAAACTTCAGGCAGAGCTTATATTTTCCTTTGACATCACCGATACTTGAAATTGGGATGAGTCCTGAAGCAGCTAGTTGCCCACATTCACGAGCTCTCTGTCACTCGCAGATTATGAAGCTATCTCAGGAGAGGCAATGGAGTTTTCATCAGATGAATGTTCATCTCCCCCATTCACCTCTTCAGCCTCAAATTGTAGATCTCTCTTAGATAATTAATAGTCGAATGTAACGGGCATGCAGGACTAGCTTGCTGGAGGAGATAAGTGGGGTTAGAGGGCGAGTTCGTAGATCAGCATTACATGGCCGTGACTTCAGTTGTGAACATCGACGTCAAATTTTAGCTAGTTGCTCACGTTTCACCAGAATGCTGCTGACCTGGTTGACAGACTCAGGATTCAAAGAGCGTGATTTACCATCATGTTTTGCTATCCCCGAGCTGGCTGGCATTCGGATTGTAGGCAGAAGCAGTAGATTCACATAAGTGATGTCCGGTATGATCAACGCCAGACCAGATTCTATTCTTTTCATGGACCATTACTTTGTAGGTTCATGGTTAGGACCTTGACTTCGTCTTGGATCCACAATTGAATGCCTGTATTTTAACTCGCATAGATGCACTCAGGTGTTCCAATGATCTACTCTTTGTTTCATCCTTTTTTGCCTGGCTCACTTTTCTCTAAATAGAGTAAAATCAAGTCTGTCATTCCTGGCTTTCTGGGTGAGTCAGGTTCCTCATATGTTCGATCGATGCTGTCCTCCCCAAATCAAGGTTTTGTCCTGGGAAGTGTTTTTTGTCAGATACCTCTGAGGTTATTAGCGTGTTCTCTCTTGGTCTTATACAGCATATGATCTCTCAGTGGTTATGCATCTTATTTTGGACGACAGGTTTATCTTGCTAGTACCCTGTTTGAGCTTCAGATAGTCTGTGGCTGAATTGCATATGCTATTTCACCACTTTCTTAGTCAGCTTTCTTCTATGTCCACATCAGTCCCTAGGTGTCCTTACAAGTAAATAATTTCGCTCTTGGCAATACGGCTGTCACAGATCTCACCGGGGTTTTTATACCCTCCATGCGCATTGAAACAGAGAGGAAAGAGCGATCTCTGATAGTTGCCGTCTATAGTAAGCCGCTTCAGCTGGTAAATCTTCAGAGGGCCAGGCTTGAGTCCGCTGGTATGGCCCAATTATCTGATCATCGTGGAAAGTTATTGGAGCCCTGGAGAAGCCTTTCCGTAATCTCTGCCATATATGGATGAGCGACTGTGATCGAGAGTTGACTTCATTGGTTTCCAACCTTGAGAACGGTGCAAACTCTATATACAGTAGTGGCATGCTATGGCCTCGCGTTTGGGAAACTGCCAACAACCTATTCCTGCAGATTAGTGAAGGTTAAAATCGCGTCGATGCTTGCATCTTCAAACTTACCGTGTGCCGACGCAACGGATGTGGTGAATGCAACTGAACTGGAAATCATGATACGTTTACCGGCATACTTTTCTTTGTGAATAGCTGACAAATCCTCTGTATTGGTGAAACGAGACTAATGACAACCCCATGTATTGCAAAATCAAAGCGGAAAGTAACCTTAACAGAGTGACTGTAATAGAGCCAGCTCGATGATATGGTCGCGGTTGTTCGCCAGCTAACATCTGTTTTGAAACTTTTCCTTCCCTATCAAATCAGAACAGAATTTTTAATTCTTGAGGTAACTCCTGCTGAATGTCAGGCTTATGTTGTGTTCTGATTTGGATTCATGGTAGACGAATAGACCGACTACATTTCTCGTTTCTTTGCCATGGTTTACAGGCTTTGAACCCCAAAGAGGTTCAGACTAATACTACATACAACATTTACCAATCATCGATCCGTAGTGTCTGTCACCGAAATCTTTATCTTCTTCCAGTCTTTTATCGTCGCAGACTTGTGCTAGTTATTCAGTTTTAGCACACTTCTGTATTCTCTTTGTCTCTATTATCAAATCCATACAATCACCAATTACACAAATGTCACTTTGTCGCCTTGTTTCTCAAAGCAGACCATTGAATCTGCGGTTCAGCATAGTAATGAAACCGTTATTGACAAGCTTCAAAGGGATGAGTCTACTCTAGGCCTCGATGAACATCCTAACTTGAACAAAGGGGTAGCAGCTGAATTTTATCGAAAAAGAGTTCTTTGAGCTCGGCTGAAGTTTTTAGGTAATTCCACAGCAAACTGAAAGGACATGAGTACCTGAGAAACACGTAGACACTACTTCAAATTATCTACGCTTTACATTCTGATTCATCCTCACTTTCTTATTAATGGTATCTCGAGTGTGTGGCAGAGATAATCATGCCTATTACTGCACATGTACGAGGGGAAAGACCTCCAGCTTGAGTGCGCAGGGGTCATGAGCGAATCTTGCTGCAACGACAAATAAACTCAATATCTAATGTTAACCAGGAAGATTACTTGCATGGGCAGTTCCAGTTGGATTTCGAGTGAGCGTTCAAAAATCATATCCCACTGCGAAGATCACCACTAACCAATCTTGTAACAAGTCTGCCATCAGCTTTCTCATCGTACTGTATGAGGATATGGATCGAAACTACCTTCTCACCCCATAAATTCAGATCGAGTAATTTTTGGACAAGGTCTAATGATACATTCATCGGAACCGATGCAGCTACGCTACAAGTAAATCTCTTTCTTGAAGGTGGAAAAATAATGCACTCCTCCAACAAACGAACGGTCGGATTCGCTTAATGATACAAACATGTTAATTAACAGTTTCATTTGAATATAACTCTTTCAACTGCGACTTCATCCTTTACAGTCCGAGTCCCGGTACTGCTTGAGAAGGTCTTGCAGTAGTAAGAAAACTACCTCACAAAACTACATTCGAAGCTATTTTCCAGTTCGTTCGTTCGATCGACGATGTGTGGTACGTAGTAAAGGTCGTCGTTATGTCCCCACGCGAGGATTCGAGGGCAGGTCATACCGAGAACACATTATTTCGTGCAAGCAATCTTGCGGTGCCTTTGAGCAATCAACGCGACGAACACTGCAGGCCCCCAATAAGCGAGAGAGAGCATCAAATAATATCCTCGATGAAGCTGCACAGTTCTGGGGCAAAACTGCAAAAGGCGAAGGCACAATAGTTGTCTCGCAACAGCCTTCCATCATGACCAGCGGAGGGACGGAGTCGTCGCCGGGATCGACAGGTGTCCTTCGCACACAACAGCGTACTCGTCTCGCGAGTGCGAGCCTTGTCATCCGCGTTCTCCTAACGAGAGGACGCACCATGACAGCGTGGCGCTCGCCAGCCAGCCCTCCGCGTTTCGCACAACAAGGAAACCAGCAGCCGGGCATCCAACTCGATCCAACCAACGAGCCGAGTAGGCCTTCTTTTCAGCCGGACACGTGTCGTTCTCGGGCACGTGGATGGAAAGCCTCGCGGCCTCGGCGAGTATACGAATGTCGTGGCACATGCCCGAGCAGTGTTCCTCCCGGGAGGGAGCGACCCTCCGCGACTGACACCCTGGTCCTCCCCTCCGTCCCCGTCCCTCCCTGCTCGCGATTTCGTTTCTGGAACGTGCAGGCGCTGTCCTACCCTTGGCCCGCGTCGTCCTACCCCACTACGCAAGGTCTAGGGGCGGGACCTGCACTCCTGCGCGCTGGCGGGAATTGACCTACCCTAAAAAGGGAGGTAGGACCGAGAGATGGACTGCTCGTCCCCTGCTCTCCGGACCGTCCTTCGTCGTCCCGTCTCGTCATCGTAATTGTCGTCCTGTCACGGTCCTCCGTCGCTCGCTGGCTCGCTTCCTTGCCCCGCGCCTCGCTTTCCAATTTCCGGCTCAGGCTCGGGCTCGGGCTTGGGCTCGGGCCAGTGGATGTCGCCCTCGCCTGGAGGCTTGGCTCGGCTTTGGCTTTGGCTTTGGTTTTGGCCTTTGGCTGTGCTCCCCGCCACTTCTCTCTCCCTCTCTCGCCTCTCTCTCTCTCTCGCTTGCTCTCGCTCTCCGCTCTCCGATCTCGCTCGCTCGCTACCTGTCGCGGCTGCGCTGCGCTGGCCTGGCCTGCCTCTGCCTGCCTGCCCTCGCTCGCTGCCTCCCTCCCCGCCCCTTTCATTCTGAGGCTCCAGGCTCGCTCTTGTTGCAGGCTCCGAGCACTCGCCACTCCCTCGCTCGCTCGCTCGCTCATACTCATACACTCCACTCCACCTCTCGCCTGCTAAGCGTCCGTTGTTTCATCTCGCTGTGCTCCCTTGCTCGGCGAGAGCAACGCTGTCGACCTTCTCTTAACGTGTACGTGCACTTCTTCTCTCTCGCTCTCGTGCTGCTGCGGCTGTCTATTTTCGCTGTGTTTCTCGTGGTCGAATCCCTCGGTGCGTGCTGTGTGCGTTTGTGGCCGGAGAGGGTCGGGCGTCGGGTACTGTGGGGGGGCAATTGTACGGGAATCTCTCGAGGGTTGTTCTTGTCGAGGGTGTTTCGAGGCTGAATTTCGTCGTGCCGGGGGCAGGGCGCGATTGTGTTTTTAGAAGGGATTCTTAAATGTTGGGTGGGAGGGTTAGATGGTTGGTGAGTTTGTGATCTGAGATCGGTGAGCGGAAGGGGGCCGGGTGCGGTTTGTCTGCCCTGTGTTTTCAATCTCCTTGTGAGCATGCAATGGAAAAGGGGCGGGATGCGGGTCGTGTGGATGGAGTTTTCGAGCTGAACTGTTCCTTGTTCGTTCGGCAGTTTTAGGGCATACGCAGATCGGGATTGAGCGCAAGCAAAGCGGAAGGGGAGACCGGAGCAGCAGACAAGCAAAGGGCGATCAAGCAGGCCAACATGTCAGCTCGTAAACGAACTCTGCTCAAGGTCATCATTCTGGGAGATAGCGGGTAAGATCCGTTCTGAAGGCTGATAGATGCAGTATTTGAGCCTTCGAAGATATCAAGCGTGATCCGCCAGTCCCTCTCTGGAAGTTTTGCCCGCCCTTGACCTGCATAATTTGAGATGGAAGGCATTCTAATGTCTCGCGATTGCTCGTGATTTTGTCTCAATTTCCCCGTTCGGAGTCTTGTATGCGCGTCCTACAGATCTGCCCTCCACTTTGAATTGTTGTTGTTGAATGTTCTTTTTCTCTGCCCCTCGTCGTTCTTAGATATCTTCGCCTTTGTAGGGTTACGATTCCTCCGTGAGTTCTCCCGGATTGGATTCTGATGATTACCAGCCGTGTGGTGTTGGCTTTGTTCTTGACAGGGTAGGCAAAACCTCATTGATGAATCAGTATCCATTTCTACTGTGCTCGATCGTTGACAGGCCGTTGTGTTCGTCAGGTCTTGCCAGGCCATGATCAGTAATTATTTCAAAGAGTTACTTTGGATTCCTAGTTTTGTAGGAGTGTATTGTGCACTTTTTGTTTCCTTCACCAAATCACAGATATGTAAATAAGAAATTCAGCAATCAATACAAGGCTACTATTGGTGCTGATTTCTTAACGAAGGAGGTTCAAGTGGAAGACAGACTCGTCACCATGCAGGTGAGCAACAGTAGTTCAAGTCATTTCCTGAAATTTTTTCCTTGCTCGGAACGAGTTGTAGCCTTTGCAGATGCGACGGTCGAGCATACGGCAGATGTGCTTACTGCTGCAAATCTCTGGCTGTTCTTTCATGATTTTTAACATTGACTAAGTTGCCTTGCGAATATAACGCAGTAGCCGTATGTTTGTACAGATTTGGGACACGGCAGGGCAAGAGCGTTTCCAAAGCCTCGGTGTTGCCTTCTATCGCGGAGCCGACTGCTGTGTCCTCGTCTACGATGTGAATGTGATGAAATCATTCGACAATCTGGAAAACTGGCGTGAAGAGTTTCTCATTCAAGTCAGTTTCACTTCTACGATCACTTCCTGCGTTTCTCCGCATCATTGTATCCATGAGAGCATTTTGTCATTGCTGACTGGTATCTTGTTATGCTTGCAGGCTAGCCCATCGGACCAAGATAATTTCCCTTTTGTGGTGCTTGGCAACAAAGTCGATGTTGACGGCGGAAATAGTCGCGTGGTAAGTTGAGTATTTCACGGTCGATCTTGATTCGTTGTTGCGACGAGTGCTTGGGGGCAAGGGTTGATCCTATGTATATTTTCGCTTCAGGTCTCTGAGAAGAAGGCAAAGGCATGGTGTTCTTCAAAAGGCAACATCCCTTACTTTGAGACTTCGGCAAAGGAGGACTTCAACGTAGATTCCGCTTTTCAGTGTATTGCCAAGAATGCGCTAAAGAACGAGTCAGACGAAGAAATGTAAGTATTGTTTTCTAAGACGACAATTTTCTTGGCTGCTTCTCAAATATTCAAACTGCTTCGTAGTAGTGCCTGTGGGGAGCTAACATGGATGTTGATTTGATGCAGATACCTGCCTGACACCATTGACGTCGCTGGCGTTAGGCCTCCAAAGTCATCTGTCTGTGAATGCTGACCTGGCTTTTAGAACATTATAGTTCGGCAGTTCCGGCCGCAGAGTTGCCCAGGTTCATCAACAAGGTTGCGGTGTAATATCTTCAGGCAAGTTCGTTCGGAGTTGTCTGGTTATCATGCGTGTTGAACATCGGGGCATGGAATGGACACCACAGGAGAGCGATTAAATTTCTCAACTATCCATTAAAGAATGGGGTCCTTGAACACATTAGCCAGGATATATGGTCTTGCAAAGTTGAGGCAGGGTAGCTCTATCGCTTCAGCAATTTGGTGATGTTTTGTACCAATCTTTTTTCTGTCCATTTTGTTCTCTGGAAGAATTGATTGTAGTCGGTGGAGTCTCTGTACTTTGGTTGATTCTAGATTCAGAGTTTTTATAGCTCCAGGGGGGTTTCTCGCTTCACTTCTGTTAAACTTGTACTATTCAGTCAATGGCGGAACCTGGTTTTAGGTCTTTGCACCAGCTTACGTTTGATGCTCAGGTGTACTGTATTGTCCTTAAATCCTTCTCATTATAAGGCGCCCAGTTGCTTTTCTGTACCGAATCCTCTTTTAGTGTGAGCGCCTAATATTTGTTTCAACATCCTTATATGGATGTGCTAAGATTTTGAACACTTCAGTCACTGATGTTTCCGGGCAAATATTGGTCTTTGCGTGTCCTTGCCAATCTGTAAATAGCTGCTCATCATTCGAAGCAACTAAGTATGACTTTGGCCCTTAAGTTTGAAATGTCCTTAGTTTCTTGTATGAATTTCATTATTTTGGGTTTAGTGTTTTATCTGTGATGACCTGTCTAAGTACGGTTCTCGTTGGACGTTTCAGCTCGTAGTTTGTATGGATTGTTTGTTTGGAATCGGAATGACTAGGGTTATCATCGATGTAACATTTACACAGGTTGCAACCACCAGTTTCAACTCTACTGACCATTCATTATTGGCGGACAGTAAAGCATAATTGCAGATTTGTGTTTTCAATTTGCGGGTAGTTGTGCGTCAGTCAGGCGGGTGCAATCACTGTCCACCGACAACATATGAAGTAGGAAAAATGTTGTTTGATTCTCCTTGCATGTAGATAATTGACTGTTACGTGATTTTCATCATTGGATGGGTGTACTTTTTATGTAACGGAAAATTGGAGTTACAATTTTCTTTCCAGTTGCGTCCTCTTGTATGGACCCTTTTAAAATACAAAGTCGCTTGGATTTCCGAAGGTTTCTGTCATCCATATTCTTTCATGGAGGTAAGTCAAAGAGTATATTAAATGAACGTATGGTCCACTTCTCTACATCTGTTCCCTTACTGAAGATATGTGGAGGTAGCCTCTTTGAACGGCGAGGAGAGCCGCGACCAAATTCCCAAGTCATCAGGTCACATGTAGCAATCTTATTAATCTCTTCCCAGCAATAAATGTTGAAGGCCCTGCGCAGTTTTGTTCCTCGACAGAAAAATGAGGAAGAAAGAAGACATCCTAAGCCTTGTTGTTTGTTACATACTTCCAGAGAAATTGCACCGAATTAAGGTATTTTTGGTTGTGGATGTTTTTGAGATGAGACGCAAAGACAAGGAAAGTGTCTTTAGCCAAGACCGTTCTCACCTCTACTGGAGGCCGAGTATACTCTCTACCATCGCGGACCTCTCTAGACGTCTTGTCAACGAAATGCATGATCTATACCATGAACACATAGTCGATTTATATTTTTGAACGAGTAGTTATCCTTGGTATGGACGCATTTTTAAAAGAAGTTATATTGTATAGTGAGATCGAGAACAGTTAATCCAGTATACGGGGGCGAAGTGGATAAAAAAAAACCAGATGCGAATTCCCGTCAAGTAGATACGTGTAACAGTTTATTACTAAATTGTTACGTGATACTTGATCTGTCAAAATAATTTTTGGACAGATCAAGTATTCGATTGATTGTAAGGACGGATTTAAGCGATCCAAGCACATGTGTTGGCACAATTGACTTGGTTGCATGTTGCAGGACAGCAGATCTCTTGCCCACCACCTCGAGACCCAAACTCCCTACGCGTCAAAGCAAAGTCACGGAGTGCCGCCAGCCAGGCCACCTTTTTGACGAGCCTGCCAATGAAAAGAAAAACAACATCTGATGCATGCGTAATGCACTAGAGGCCACAAAAGTCATAAATTGCAGGTTTGAAAAAGCGTAGGGTAAATGTGAGTGTACTACACCTTGAGCAAGTATGTAGGAAACAGTAATAGATGCAGCGTGTGCGTAATGATGTGGTTAGGACGTCCGCTTGAAGCCTTGCAAGTGCAAGGCTTCAAGTAATAATGGGTACGATCATTGAACTCAAAAAAATTCGAGGCAGTTTGGGTGGCATCATTCTTTTCATTGTCTAGACATTTTTCCCATTATCTTCTGAATTCAGAGGATTTTTTATACTTTGTAAAGGGTATTTTACGGTCCATAGAATTATACAATACGACTGGTGGTGGTGTTCTCGATAACTAGTATATGATTTTTTTTCCCTTCAGTTTACTTATCCCCACGTACAGGTGTAATAGCCTTCACGATAAAAGTACTTGCCGGGTTTATATAAATCAAGCACAGCGTGATGTATTTCATGACGGGGATCAATTGAAGTAACCGCGAGTCTAATATATTGACTGTAGAGGTATATCAGGAGTGGCTAGTTATCATTCAATTAGGGGTAGTTAGGACTTACTCTACTATAAGCAGTTTTGTTATTGGTCGATGCAATAGCAAGTATAGGATGTTCGACGTAGTGAGGGATAACTAGCCCTTATCGTCGTATAATAAACAGTTAAATATGACACCGGCTATCGTAAGTTCTCCGTCAAAATCCACAACACACCTAAGTGTACAGTAGTTTGTTACACCAATGTATGCAATTGAAGCCTAGTTCCGTTCAATTATATTGACGATTATATATTTACCAAACATGGATCTAACCATCCAACTTCACTAATTTTAACAATCCTCGCATTATATCATTTCAGGAGAAAATTATTTAATGTATATCTAATTGACACAAACTATTACTATGTGATCATATTTTCAGCATTTGATTTTTTCATCATCCCTAAATTTAGACTTGATCTTAATATATATATATATATGCACACGTATTCCTTAGTAAGCTGCCAATCACAAGAAATTATCATGACAATAGATGATAAAATGAATTGTTCAAAAGAATGATGCATATACAACAAGAGCTTCTATCGCATGTTGTTAGATCAATAAAGCAGTATTAATTTCATCGTTGATGATGATCTCCTTGCATTTTGAAACAACACTCGTGACAATAATTGGTTTAAAGCCAGCAAAGAATTCAACAACTGAATAGTTTTTTCTCATGATTCAAATATTTTCCAATGTTCTCAAGATCCACGGCTACATCATTAAAAGCATCTACATGTTCTTAGATTTTAATCTCTTTTGGCATCTTGATGATCATCACGTAAGCATCAAATACGTGTACAACCAATTTGAGAGCTACTTCTTATGGTAATTTTCACACAAAGCGACAAACAAATCTGATGTCCTTGGCTTCTGCTCTGTTTGCTTGAAAACATTGGGCTTGAGATACAATACTACTATTCTCACAGCTTGATATTGAATATCATTCCAATCATCATGATCTACATTGTCGGTTCCTAGCTTAAGCATCTTGCCCCAAGTCCATGGCACCAAGTACATTAGTGACACAAGATATAATCATTTCATCCATCAAATTTTTACATCTCAAACTGTTGAGTTCCAAACTTACTCACCATCATGAGTCTATTCTTCTCCCTAAATATAAGCAAAGATTGACTAGTAGTGTCTTTATCTCCCCTTATGCATTTAATTTTCATTTGAATCACTCAAATTATTCATTTCTCAAGGAGTTGGCAAAACTCATGTCTTTCATAGTCAACCGTTCATAGAAATCAACGATCAACGATGGTGAACAACGGTCAATGATGATCAAAGATCAATTGATTTCAATGATACTCTCTTGCATTTCCATTCTCGTCTCATGTAATAACCCACTAAAGGCTAAAACTGCAATATAGTGGTAGAAAGGTCGAACCCACAGGGACAGAGGAACACACAGGGTACAAAGTGTCACGTTTTAACAGACTATTGAGGAGTTTGAATTCTCAGGCGACTGTCACTCCCAGAAATACTGCAAGTGTCCACTCGGAGCGCACTCGGAGGTCGCACAGTGCAGCGTAACACACACACACACACACCTGAAGCTACAGAAACACAACCCAGAGATCCGTTAGGACCTCTACTTCAAGATTTCAGGGGGAAAGTCTCTCACGAGCACACTCGGCAAAGCTGCGGGCAGTGACTTCCAACTCCGGCTTTTACAACACTTCCACTAGCTTGCTGCTAGTGTAGGAAACCCGGTTTGGACTGCCTACTTCGGATCGAAGTCACTCATACGCGGTGAACAACACTCTCAACTCACAAAACGCGCAGAGAACACAGGTCCGCACTGAAGGACTCACTGTGAAACATTCCAGTAACACAACAACAGTCTATTGAAGAGTTTGAATTCTCAGGCACTTGTCATTCCCAGAAATACTACAGGGGTTACCCTCAAGGCACCTGCTGCAGCGTAACCTGAATTTACAACCAAGGCTTACACGAAGTAGCAAAACTTCACTTTGGCATTCAGGGGAAAAATCCCAAGGGAGTACAATCAGAAAGGAACACTCGAAGGTGTAGGGGCGAAACTGTTCAAGTATCTAACTAGTCACTGGCTCTGAGCATCGGCAGTCACCCGCGGGTGCAGATCCGAACTACTCAAGTCTCTAACCAATGGACTAGCTCTGAACATTCGGCCGAAGGCCTTCAGCTACAAAATGCGGAACGCTAAGTTGTAACTCCTCGTGCGTGGTGACAGAACTCAAGGACACAAACACGCAAAGGAAATGGGTTCCTGATCTGCACTTCTGATGGGAAAGAACCCCAGGCAAAACGCCTGGAACTATTTTATACCTTCTAAGTCCTACCTAGCACTACACTGTACTACGCTACACGCCTGCACGGAACCACGCTACACTACACTCCGCGGAACCTGTACTACGTCTCCTGCGCGGCCGACTGCCGCGCACTAACTCCCTACCCTGCCACTCTTCCGCTCGACTGCGCAGTCCCAACCGCTGCAACGCCGCGGACACCTCCCCTTCGAGGGCGGACATGGTATCCTGTGCCTTCGACAGAAAGGCCTCGAGCTTCTTCGCTACCTTCCGCCGACTCCTACTGTCGCCTGACAACAACCCGGCTGCGCGCAATTCAAACTCACGCAGTGTGAGTTTCTCCTGCGCCTTCACTTCCCAGTGGGCGTAGCCCTTGAGGCAGTGGGCGACTCGCCTCGCCGTCTCCACCTTCGTGCGATCCGCCTCCTTCCTGCGATCCTCTTCAATTATCACTAATTGCGATTCGGCTTCAGCACGTTGCGCCATCAATTCGCCACACTCTGACTGTAACCTGCGGATTAATTCTTCATCCGCCTGCCGTGCGAGCTGACATTGTTCCAACAACCTCGTCTGTCGCACGAGCTCCTCTGACAAAATCCGATTCTGGGCCTGCTCAGAGTTGAGTGCTTCCTTGACCTTCACCTGCTCCTTGGTGAGCTCGCCCAGTTTCTCATCCTTCATCTTCTCGGAGTGCTTGTAGAATTTCTGATTAAGCTTGTACTGTCCCCACAAGCACTCATGCTTCTCCCTCAAGTCCCT